TAATAATAATAATAATAATAATAACTTTTGTCCATTATACATGTATATTGTCAATATTATTAAGTTTGTCTATACATGTACATAATACATAAGGTATATCACTATATATATATATGATATATCACTATTTCTGTTTTCTACAATAATTATACATAAGACGAAAAGGCTTTTGCGTACAGAAAATAAAATCTATTTACAACAACCAGCAGCAACCGTCTGGTTACAATAACCTGTAATACATGTACAAGTACTGTATTGCACATAATTATGCTACACAACTTCACAATTTACTAGAAGATTACAATAAAGAAGTCATTCTAAATCTACATGAACAAATCTCTTAAGAGAGAAAGAGAGAGGTAGAGTGTTCTCAGCCATCATGTAAACAATGAAAACTATAGGCTAGCAATATCAACCGTTTATAAAACTTACACAAAATACATGTAAGCCTATTGTATACCGTATAGCTGGTTTATTTCGTGTGGAATTAATTTTCGTGCAGGCTCAAATCCACTAAAATTAATTCCACTAAATTTTATTAAAACCAATTAAGTATTAACAAAAATTTAGCAAGGCACTAAAATTAATTCTAATGAAAATTTAAGCAGCGAAAATTTGAGGCCACGAAATAAACCAGCTATACGGTATATTTACATGCAAATAGTACATTTTTATGTGTTCTCAGCTGTCATGTAAACAATGAAAACATCTATAGGCTAGCAATATCAACCATTTACAAAACTTACACAAAATACATGTAAGCCTATTGCACATATTTACATGCAAATAGTACATTTTTATGTTTTAATTGCAAGTTTGCAACACATTTGACTGAGAGTGCTCTAAACTGAACAACATTTAAGGCAGTGTTAATCACACCATGCCTTCGTAGTGTATAACATAATGGTACATGTAGCCAATTGATTATAGCCATTATGCAGTTAAAAAACTATCACATAGGTAATATAGCAGCTATAACGAGGAAGTAATTCTTATTACTAAAGCCATAAAAGGTGAATAACTGGGAGGTGCTTTGGATGGCACTTGTAGTACTTATAAGTACATGTGGTTATCATAAGCAGCACACATTTTGGACACCTGCAGGTATCGGGAGGACTACAGAATAGTGAGCACACGATACTTTTATAACATAATGGCTGAGAAACCAGATGGATGTAGTTCTACTTGTAATCCTAAAAAAATCTGTTGTTTCAGTTCAGGCCGAGGAGCATGCTCATGTAGGGCAGCTGGTGTGCTGTGTACAGATTATTGCCCATGTGGTAAAGAGAGACAGTGTAGCAATAAAGTAAGAGAGTCTTATTTGTCTTATTATTAGTTTTATCATTTTTTGTTACTGAAGCCTATCAGTAAAAAACCCACTACAATTGCCAACTCAGAATCAGATAAAGTACGTGCAATGACTAGGAGAGTAGGCACCATGGCCATCAGTAAGACAACTACAGAATCTACTTACTTTAACATAATGGCTGAGAAACCCAATGGATGTAGTTCTACTTGTAATCCTAAAAAAATCTGTTGTTTCAGTTCAGGCCGAGGAGCATGCTCATGTAGGGCAGCTGGTGTGCTGTGTACGGATCATTGCCCATGTGGTAAAGAGAGACAGTGTAGCAATAAAGTAAGAGAGTCTTATTTGTCTTATTATTAGTTTTATCATTTTTTGTTACTGAAGCCTATCAGTAAAAAACCCACTACAATTGCCAACTCAGAATCAGATGAAGTACGTGCAATGACTAGGGGAGTAGCCACCATGGCCATCAGTAAGACAACTACAGAATCTACTTACTTGGCTAAAACAAGTACATGTACAATTGCTTCAGCTACCACACGTGGTGGTTGTAGTTTTGATGACTTAGTACATGGCGAAAAAAACTACGTTTGCGAGGCAAGCTACTTATTAAATCTGGAAGAAGAGCCAACATATGCATTTGATGAGACCGAGGAAAAAGCCAATCAACGAGTAGCAAGGCTAATAAGACATTTGAATGGGATATTCAGAGAGCTTAAAATTCGAGGAAAAACAGTTCAAGAGTTTTATATTGGGAAAACGTTTGCACCTAAATCACAAAGGAAAGGTGTGGTATATAATAATATGGATCCGTCTACATTTGTAAAGAAGGCATCAGTAGTAGATGGTTGACTAAATATAAAGGATTGGGGTATGATGCCTCATAGTC